ACCTCGAGGCGCTGCTCGTCCTCGAGACAGCCGAGACGTCGCTGACGTCGCTGTCCGAGGACTTATTGGAAACGTTGTCGGAGCCTCGCTGAGGATCCCGTCCCGACCGATACTGTAAGAGCCAAGAGACAAGGATAGGGCTGTTGTCAGTGACTCTACCACGAAGCAGCTTTGGAGACGATCTCTGATGATATCTCAACTGCCTGTATCACCAGACCGCCTGACATTTTGATAATGAAGTTTTTAACTGTCACGGAATACAAATTATTGGTTCATATTAGTTTTACTCTGCTGTGCTATCCAGCTGGAGTTATTAGCTCCTCACTTTGATCGACAGAGTAACTTGTACAAAATTTCCAGCTCTTCTAAAGGTTTCACAAATCTTAGCAAAGCATATAAACCACTGCAGAGTATTTCTTACCACAAGTATTCCCCCAGTGCCCAAAAATAAATCAGAGAGACTTAGCGACTTGCCCCAGTTTGCTCAGTTAGTGAAAAATTGAACAGGCAACAGAATTTGTTTCAAGCAAACTACAAAATAAATGTCTCTCTTGGGGCCTATTCTATTTACAAGAACTTCTGCCTGACTAATGCTAATACTTCTTTTATAAAGGAAGCAGACAGATGAGATTATCAAAACAAAAGGGGAAGTGATTTTGCAGCTGTGCAAGCAAAGACACATCTTCTTGAACTGCTGGGTTGGGAAGTCCAGAAGGACACAAGAAGACAGGATTTACAGAAGATTTCTACTGAAAATTTGCAAATGCCCCAGAGATTCAAAGATGCCAATAGCATTTTGCCTTGTTGCCAGCACACTCCAAACACTGACCTGCCTACGCGATGTGAATGGTGTAGAGCAGAGGTATTCAAGTTCCTCTCGAGTGAAAAAGAGAGATTTTTCCCTCTAATTACAAGCATTTTTGTGAATACAAAAATCTGATTGGTTACAACCAAAGATCTTAGAAGAATGGCACTGTAAGATGAAGAGGGCTGGTTGACACATCTCTGGCATGAGAAGATGTAAGGAGCAAGAACGAGAGGTTTTAGAGAAATCAATGAGAGAAACTATTCTGCACAGTATTTCAGAAGCCAGATGAGCTGCTGGGGGTAGCAAATTGGACTCAGGGATGTGCAGAGATAATTCACAGTGTAAAGTGCTGGACTTGGGTACTTCTGCAGAAGGGAATGCTGTTGAGGTCTGGATATGGAATTTCATCCTTTTTTAATAGTTTTACTAAAACCGCCTTCAATGAATGATCACTTGTGTCTGCTTTCCTGTAAGGAAGAAGTTAAACTAGAAAATATCCTAAAAGACTGCACAGTGTACAACTCCCTGAAGAATAGCATTTGAATGCATATTTTACCCTAAATAAATGTGACACAAACTGTGAGTTATTTTGCTAGTTTTAAGATGGGAAAATTAAGCAAAGAGAAGAAGAGGTGTTCAGGAAAGTTACACCATACACTTGTGGCAGAATCAGCAGTTGATCATTCATGACCTGCACATCTATGCAGAACGTCTGCAAATGCTGCAGTCAGGTTCCTCATCTCCCCTAGGTATAATTTCCAGTATTAAAATTTATGCACAGAGCATTCAACCTCCCTTCTTTGGTTTTAAAATATGACTGCATGCCATAAACCTATGGAATACTTCTAATGTTTAAATGTTGGCAAATTTAATGACACTTATTAACGCCATTAATATTTTTATCCAATAAAAACATAATATGTATTCTTATGTGAGCAGTTATCATATTAAAGAGTGGATAGTGACCTCTGTGAACATTGCAGGCTTCGTGTGGCCATGCTAGAGGGAAGTAAGAAAGACGGACCGTGGTTTCAGATGCAAATCGCTGCTGGAATTGTTAATTAAATTCCAACTAGAGGCTAGGTAATGACTTGTGGTGATTGGCAGGAGAAGGGATCTAAACCTGCAGCTTTCCCAGCAACCTGGCCAGGCAGGCAGGGAAAGGGAAGCTTCTGAATGGGATATGGCCAAGGGGCAGGATGTGACAAGCAGCGTCACCCCTACAAAGTCACTCGAACGGCTCAATCCTACACAAGCCGCAAATACGGTTTTGTTAGTCACACTGCTACACTGGTCATCTAATTCCAGTCCTTAAAAATACATTTTAATGCACTTCATGTATTTCACATATCAAACCAGACATTTTCCCTAAACAAAATAGCCCAGTTGTATTTTAATTTTAAAGACAACTAGCATAGTACTAATAATTTAGTGCTATACAGTGAGAATTAAGAATTGCAAAAGCATCAATAGCAACTTAAAAGTAAGGAGGGGAGAAAGGCATCACTACCCAGTGCCTTTTTTCTTTCATAGGTAAAAGTATTCCCCATTGAGTCTTTCAGATTAGGCCAAATAAATATTATTTTTATCCTTAGTATTTTAGGATATTTTACATTTGGAATAAAGAATGTTTTAGGGGAACTTTTCGTTAAATAGAAATGTCTTAATATTTTTATATTTAAAACTGTTACTAAATATTTACCTGTTCTCTTAATTGCAATCCCAGCATCTCTTAACTGCCTACCAAAATAAAATCTAGAACATGAATCCAAATTGTCTATCTTTCTGTATAAAGCTCAAATACCTCAAGCTCATCCATAAAGCCTGTTCTCAAATACTGTTCTGTTCTTACTGCAGTGGTTTCCATCCCCTATATTTCTGACCATATCGGACTCTATTTTAAGGCCGACATTGTAACCTCAAGTCTGTTGTG